TATACCTGTTTAATCCATTATGAAAAAATACTTCAAGCAGATTGAATGCAATCTTCATACATCAGTACTTAATACTGATACTTAATTTTTTAGCTGTTTTCTTTTTTTTTTATAATGTATTTAAACAAAATTTAAAAATACATTTAAGTATGGCAAAGTACTGCAGTTTTATCCCAATTAATGGGTTCTCAAAACCCAGGGTAACTTTTTAAAATCTAATTCAAACCTATAAACATTAGTCAGTATTTGGTTTGGGTGGTTGGTTGGTTTTGTGTGCTTCTTTTAATGGATCCTCATATTTTGTTTTCAGTACTGATTAAAAAGAGTGGCCTGCAGCAGCCATTAAGTGCAAAGGGATTTGGCAATTCCTCCTGTCACCTGCATTCCCCTGGCATTCCATTTGGTGAAGAACTTGATGTGGCAGCAGCCCCTGCACAGGAAGAAGAAAACACAGGTTATAAGGATTAATAAGCAGTTAAAATGTTTTTCCTTCAGTAAGCACTGGTGTATTGTCATGATTTAGGAATGTTACTCCTCAGTTCAGTGCCCCACTGAGGCTCTCCCAAACTGTGCACAGTTTTTTGACCATGCCAGAGGCTGATGCACAGTAAGAAATATGACACCTACTCAATTCTACAGTGCTCTCTGGCCCAGGGGTCTATGACACTACTTTTGAAATTAATCCCACTGTCTTGTCTGACTCAGCTTTTTCTGGGGCTCCACATCACCACAGGCCTTGCTTTTCAGGGCCCAAGATGGTGTTTGGGCACAGGGTACATCTCCAGTCACCCCATGGTGGATTCCACCCCTGTCAGCACATAGCGCTTGCCTTCACTGGTTTGTGGAAGTGTAGTCTAACTAGCCAGGGCTTCCCATATGTGTATTTTGGGCATTGTTCCCCATACCACAGAGGCTTTACTAGGCCTGCTTGATTGCAGTACATGTTTCACAGCTAAGGGTAATCTGGAAGATAGTGTCCGTGGTTAAGTCCACCCCTCAGTCCCGAGCCCGTCTGTATTGTTACATCTCTTCTCTGATGACCTGAAGCATCATGGGCCCAGTGAGCCAGAAATAATTCACCCTTATGTTCCCAGTTCAGATCCACCTGAGACACTTTGATCTTGGCAACCCAATCCACCTGTCCATTGTTGTGATGTTCTTCAGTAGCCCAGCTCACAGCTGCATGTAAAAGCACATCTATGTGATGTGCTTTTACAGCCAGCTTTTCTCTCCAAGCAGTGATGTCTTGTCAATCTTCGGCAGCCCAGACAGGTTAACCTCTGTTCTACTAAAGTTTCTATTTTTCCATTGATCCACCCACCCCTACATAGTGTTCAGTGGTCAGTGTAGAGGAAGGGCACTGACCATTTCTCTTGTTTAGTGATATCTAAAGCCATCTGGATGGCTTTCAGGTCTGCAAATTTACTTGATCCACCTTGTTGTGTAGTAGCTTCTGCAACTTGCCATGTAGTACTCCATATAGCAGCTTCCTATTTTTGATTTATCCCCAAGATATGGTATTGGAATAATAATACCAATATAACCAAATGGGACCTGCCTGACCTTGTCTGGCCCCTGCTGCTTGACCAAAAGGCAGCAACTGTGGTGCTTTCACCTCACAGACACCTTTGGCTAGCTGGATGCTGCAGCTGGGCACTTGAAGCCAAGTCCAGGCTTGCAGGAGCTCAGGTTTACCTTTGGCAGAGAAGCTTCAAGGCAATGGTGAAGGAAAAGGAGGCGGGTTCTGCTGGAGGGTTTTGATCCAGAGCTTTATTCCTGGCCCACAGGCCTCTGAACCCAGCAGCAGCTCCAACAGAACTCCCTGAACTGTGTTGCTGCTGTTCCTTTTAACCCCGGGGAGAAGGGGTGGGAAGGGGTAGGGATCCCACCAACCAGGTAGGGGGGGGGAAGTCTTAAGGGACAAATGGCACCTGGATGGCCCAATGTCCTCCAGAGGTGGAGGCATCTTTTGAACTCTGCCGATCACTGGACGTCCCTTCTGGAATGCCAAGATTGACAGACAGCACTCAGCAGGGGTCAGGGTGTGGAAAGGATGGATGATTGACACACCTGGCAGAGAATTATCAGGGAGGAACCTGGGGTATCTGAGGCAAACCATGACATCACACTGCAACAATATGGCAGGAGCTGTCAATGGTGAGGCCGTTTTCCTTTTTCTGGTAGCTGATTATACAATGGAGCCTCCTCAGTACATCACCTTTTCGTCCTCCTCTGATGATGATAGTCCAAAATGTTTGGCTTCCTTGATTTCCAACATTCCTAGGTGACTGGTATTTCCTATTGAGCTTGCTGAGTGATCATCACAACTCACTTACTCCATGTAGCATCACTGCCATGATATGTGGCAGTGGCAGGGACTTTCTTTTAAACATCCAGCCCAGCACTGGCAGTCAGGGTGCCAGGAGGAGCTGTGCTTGGGTGCCAATCACTTCCAAAGCACCTCAAAACCCTTCATAAGCTGCCAGGATCTCTTTTTCATGTGGGGTATAACACACCATACATCTCTTGTATCTCTGAGTCCAGAACCCCGCTGGTCATCCTGAAGTCTCCCTGGCTACTTTTTGCCAGAGACTCCAGGAAAGACTATTCTCCCTATCTGCAGTGTAGAGCAAATTTTTCACATGTGCTCCTATCCTGACTGGCCCAAAGGTTACTGCATGAAGAATCTCCTGTTTAGATCATTCAAAAGCCTGTTATTTTTCAGGACCCCCCTTTAAATTATTCTTCTTCCATGTCACATAATATTGAGACGGCTTACAATCTGACTGTAATCTATAACATGCATCCTCCACAAACCTGTAGGGGCTAGGAAAACCTGCGCTTGCTTTCTGCTGGTTGGTGGGTACATAGCTGCTTGTTTGTTTACCACATCCATTGTAATCTGATGACATCCCTCTTGCCATTTTACTTCTAAAAGCTGAATTTCCTGGGCAGATCCATTGAGTTTTCTTTGCTTTGTGGCAAAACCAGCCTTCAGGAGGATCTGGATTTTCTTCTCCCCTTTCTCAAGAACCTCCTTTGCTGTGTTGCCCCATATAATATCATTGATGTACTGAAAGTGTTCTGGAGCCTTGCCTTTTTCTAGTACAGCCTGGATCAGCCCATGGCAAATAGCGGGGCTGTGTTTCCACCCCTGTGGCAACAGTCTATTGTCAGTCTCCACTCTCCATTGAGCTTACACATTGGCCTTATAGGACTAGTAAAGGGCCAGCGGATCTTGCTGACCACTCCCTGGCTCTCCATCTCTCAAATCATCTCCTGCATGGGGGTCACAGAGTCCTGGTTGGTGTGGTATTGCCAACAATGCACTGTTGTAGTAGCCCTCAGTACCTGTTGTTCTTCAACCCTCAGCAATCCCACAGCAAAGGGTCCTCTGAGAGACCAGGTAAGATCATCCTTGAGAGAATACCTTTCCCTCACACTTGACACAAACTGTCTCCAGTGGCTGAGAGTTTCTGTGCTCTTCCCAATCATCTTGTCAATGCCCATATTCCAGGACAGAGATCCCAGGATCCCAGCTTCTTGGCTTCACCGCCATCCAGTTTCATATCAAGGGCCATGGCATTCCAGAATTAGACCAGCCAGACCACCAGGGGCTCTCCTGACTAGAGGCTGAAATCTATTTGTATATCTCATAGCTCACCTGAGGACTGGGATTGGGTGATTATCTCTGGCCCTGCCTCTTCCTCTTGTTTTGAGGGCTCTGCTTCCTCTTCATCCCTCATGCAGTCAACTGATTATATGTTGGATTTCTTTTTCTGTATAGGGTCGACTGCTACTGGTTGTTCCTCTGGTTCAGCAGCAGTTTGTGTGGCCATGGTGCCTGCTGGTCTGCTTCCTTTCTCCACCCCTGGGAATGATGTCTGCTGTTGAGCAGTGTCCAGTAAACAGTAGCCAGGACAGAATGCATTGTGTAAGTTCGTGCCTCTCTGGAGCTTTGACATATTTCACCACTTTATCAGGTTGTTAAAGTGATAACCTAAACTACCCATGTAGTTGTTCATGGGTGAACTGCTAAACTATTGGAGAAGTCCTCCCAACACTGGCTCGTGTCCTTCTACATTCTATGCCCCTCATTACTATCCTACTTCAGGGCAGATCTCTGAATAAGCTCCCTAGAAATCTTTCTTGGCTCTAAATATGGTGTGCACTGCACTGAGCAGACCTAGCAGACCTAGCAATAAGAACATACTTTCCTTAACATCCAAAGGGAATTCAGAATTCTTAAAAGCTGTTGTAATAGGCATGAAGGGGTAAACGGAGGCAAAAGGTTGGGGAAAATCATCCTCCTCTTTCCTCTCTCTGGATGCTTTTAATAATTGGCTCCCAAGGGTAGCACCTTAGGTAAGGGTAGGAGAGCAACACTGAATTCAGATCCCAAATGACCCTTGATATTATCATGTTATGAGCTAATATCAGAGAGTGCAACGGAGCAATCCTGATCCCTCTCCATGCTTTGAAAAAGAAACACAATGGGCACACAGTACATATATGGAAACGTATTTAGTTTCTATTTTGGTACTGGGAGGGATACAGGGATGGCTTCTGTAAGAGGCTGCTGGAACCTTCCTTGCTGTCTGGCAGAGACAATGCCAGCTAGATCCAGGACAGGTGTGTCACTAGACAAGGCTGGGCCAATCAGAACTCACGGTAATGACTCTGCAAAAACATATTCAAGAAGAAGGGAAAAAAAAACCTTTTTGCACAGATGCAACTGTGGCCAGAGAAGAGCAGAAGAATATTTGAGAGGAACAACTCTGCAGACACCAAGGTAAGCGGGGAAGGAGGTGGGGAGTTGTGATCCACCTGCAGTCTGCAGAGGAGTGCCAGGCTCAGGTGAATGCCAAGAAGAGGCTGTGAATTCATGGGAGGCCTGTGCTGAAGCAGGTTCCTGGCAGGGACCTACAGACCCACGGAGAGAGGAACCCGTGCTGGAGCAGATTTCCTGGCAGGACGTGTGACCCTTTGGAGGATCCATGCTAGAGCAGCCTGTTCTTGAAGTACACAGTGGAAGAGTAATCCCTGTTGCAGCAGTTTGTGAAGAACTGTTGTTGACGGGATAGACTCACATTGGAGGAGTTCATGGAGAACTGTCTCCAGTGGGAGGGACCTCATGCTGGAGCAGAAGAAGGATGCCTCTCCCTGAGCAGCAGCAGAAACACACAATGAACTAACTGAACTGTCCATTCCCTGTCTCCCTGTGATGCTGAAGGGAAGGACATAGAGCTGGGAAGGTGGAAGAGGTGGGAGGAAGGTGTTTTTGTTTTTTTTCTTATTATCCTTCTCTGATTTTGTTAGTAATAAATTCCATTAATATCCCTAATTCTAGCTGGTTTTGCCTGTGACAGTATTTGGTGAGTGATCTCTCCTGGTCCTCAGCTCATGAACCTTTTGTTATATTTTCTCTCTCCTGTCTAGCTGCAGAGGGGATGATAGAGAGGCTTTGGTGGCACCCAGTCATGCTCCACCCACCATGGAGTTAGGTAGCACACGCACATGAGTAGACCCAGCAGCATTGTGACCACTGGCTCTGTACCTAATACAACTAATGCTTAGATCAAATCGTTTCCAGCTCACACTGGCCAGATCTGTTATTATCTCAACCCTTCAAGCCCTACACTGGGACACAAATAAGGCTTTTGTGGTTTAGGAATGATACTCTCTAGTTCAGTGCCCCCACTGAGACTTTACCAAACTACACACTGTTCTCTCTTGCTCCCCCATGCTGCTGCAGCATGCTGGAGAGGAGTATTGGAGACATGAAAGGCAATGGTCACTGGTTAAGATAAGAACAACTTACTTGAAACAGCAATGAGATACAAAACCAAATGGTAACAGCAACAATACTAATGTCAGAGGGTATATGAAAAGAAGCAATTCCATGGGAAAAAAACCCAACCTGGATAATAAACAATATTAGACAGCTCCCTTTGCCACATTTTCTTGACTGGACAAACTCCTTCTCTCCAGAATAGAGTCCCTTTTCCTTGCTCTTGGTGTAAAATACAAAGCTGTGTTTCGTGTCAGGTACAAACAGGCAACGTGTGTATTTGTGAATGCGAAATGTGTGGGCCCTGACAATGGGAGAGCTGTGAATTCTAATAATAACTGAGGGAAATAAAGCATGGAAAAAGAACCTATCTTTTGAATCTATCTCTTGTTTGCAATTAACCCTGGTTGATTTAGGAGCATTGGAACTAAAGTGTTAAGGATGTTGCTTTTTGCTTGCATTTAATCCATAAAAAGCTCTGCAATAATAACCTTGTGAAGTATAATTTTAGAATATTACTTGTATCCTTGAAACTATAGCTTTGGAATATATATAAAGGAAACGTGCTTATCTCACACCTTATTGAAGCAGAGAAAAACAGCTTGAGAAAGGAAGATGAAAATCCTAAGTGCCTAAGCACACAGGCAATGCTACAGGAAATGTATCTCACTTGACAAAAAATAAAAAGTTATTAAAACCCATTCTTTCTTTGCTGCTTAGAAAAGGTTTTTTATTTTTTTTCTGTATATTGTTTCCTGTATAAAATAGTTCTGCCTTAACAGAAATAACTAGAATGACTGCCTTGTTCATGTTTCTCCCCTTACATCATCATTGGGTATCTGATCTGGACCTTCTAAAGGTCATAAATAACTGTATCCACTGTTTTCAGAAGAACAGTAAGCATAAACATACTAACAGCAGTAATCTCCCTAAAGATTACCCAACTCTTGTAAAAACCTTAGTAAGATGACATGCAAGTTAGCTCTCTAAAGATGTATTTTAGTACCCAGCACTTACTTTCCACCTCTTTTTTTTTCTTTAAACGCTTTGTCCGGTCAATGGCAGCCAACTCAGCTTTCAGCAGCCGGTAGCGTTTCTGGATTTCCTGCATTTTTGCTTGGAGAACTGTTATGCGCTCGGTGCTACTCAAATTTTGCAAGTCAGCTGCAAGTTAAACAATTTCTGTTAATTATTGCATTGCAGTAGTTCCCAAGCCTTCTGAGGCTTCTGTGAACGGGAAGGTACTCAAATCTTAGTGATGTACTTTGAGGTAGCAGGCAGCAAAGCTGAGAAACAGCAACTACTGTTTATTATCGCTATCTTGCCCGACACAAACACACTGAAACTTCTTCTTACAAGAAATACTAAACAAGCCTTGGTTCATTACGGCAAAATGGAAGGGGAAGATTTAAAAATTTAAAATCTTAGAGGCTGAGCAAGAAACAGAGAACAAGGAGTAAAACAGCAAGAAAGGAAAACTATCAGGATGTATGGCAAAATTAGGCAAACTGGGGATGGAGTGATTTTAGAATTAAAAAACGCTCAAAACCAGAAAATTCCAAAAGCCTTCTTATAGTATGCCACAAGACCACAAGAGGCATGTTTCAAAAAAGATACCTACACACTTGAAAACTCCATTTGCAACCTTTGGGCAAATGACTATCATGTTCTTTTAGATCAGACTCCCTCTCTCCACTTTGCCCACATTTTCCTGTGGGAAGGTAGATTGTTACAAAACAAAGCAACTTTCCCACCCAACCCAAAGCTTACCAGGACCTGTCTTACTCTAACATGACAGAATCCATCCTGGTGTAGCAGCTTGGCACACAGCTCTCTACACCATGGGTGCCCAGGGACAGGACCTCAAACCAGGTCCTGTCTGTAATGGGAGCCCACTAATTCTGGCATGCTGGGAAAGGGAACCCTTGCACTGGAAACACCAGCCAGTTAGTTGTTGTGCACGTAGACTCAGATCTGTTCTGTGGATTTATGGGAACCATAGTCCTACAGACCTAGAAGGCTGATAAAAGTAGGAGACTGTGGCTCCACAATCCATCCCAAAAACTGGCCGGTGTTTAACTGAATGTGTGTGTGGGTGAACATAGGGAGGTAGGGTAGGGACACACTTCCTGGAAGGAGATTCTTGAATACGATCCAGCTGCTCAAGGTTCGTATAGCCATAGTCCACTCTACTCTCCAACTGGATCACGACAGCAGTGCACTTATTGCTTTAGAATCACAGCCATAAATAAATTGCCTGCATCAGAAAATAAGGCAAAGAGGCACTGTAATGTGTTCATGTAGGTGCCAAAATTATCCACATGTTTCTATTTATGGAGCTATATAGTCTTTAAAAAACTTTGCAAGACTGATTATTACGTCCTAGCTCCTATTCACCTTTTTTAATATTCATTTCAAACAAATGGTACTTTCACACATTTTATTTCACACTGAGCTGCTGTACTTACTACTTTTATTCTTCTTTTTGATGTTCACAGATCTTTTGAGGTTTGTTTTCTGCTTTTTGGAGGAGCTGTCTCTTCCCTGAGCATTTTGAAGGGTTTTTTGTCCTCTAAACACTATAAAGGAGGAAAAAGACCCCAAAAAGTAGAAAGAAATGGAAATAACAACAACAACAATTAAAAAAAAGCCTGCATTTCTCTGCATTTTTCTCCAAGTATATACATCTGCAATTAACAAATCGATAGAGATATGTTTTTTGATGGCTGCCTATTGACCTCGTTCAAACTCTTGCCTTTGTTGAACGAAACACATTTTATTGCATTCTTTTAGAACAACGTTTCCAGATGAATTATAGTAACACACCTTCAGGGCATTTTGAGGAAATTCAGCTAATTGTTAACTGAAGTCTGTTGCAATGAAAAAAACAAGGAGTATAGTCAGGCAAGCATTTTCTTCCTCAGTGTTTTTCAGGCACTACAGCACAGTGAACGCATCTGTATTTTTGATGAACAGCAAAAGAGCCAGTCACTTTCACAAAAAAGCTTTTGAATCCAGCCTTGCCAGCAGTTAAAATGCAGGCAGCAATACACTGACATCATGTGCACAAGTGTTGGTTGTGTTTATTGTCCTCTTCTCTCTGGTGGTCTCAGGATGAATCTCAAAATCACATGAATGTGAAACCCAGCTAAGAAGGTCAATGTTTGATATCAGCTTGACTTCCATTTTTCAAAACATTAACTTCACAAGGAGCAATGGTTTCCCAAACATGCAATAACGGCACTTTCTCCCACAAATTAAATAGCTTACAGAGAATCAGGTTTTGTGCAAGAAACAGCATCTTCTACTTATAAGCAGGGCACTCAAAATGCTTTCATCTTGCTACAAGAAATATTCCTTACACTCTGTATTACAGATTGTTCTGGGCCTTTCTTTTCAAGTCCAGTATAAAACATCATTCTTATATACTTTTTTCCTCATTGAAACCATCACAATTCCTAACAAAAGGCCAAGAAACTTCCTGGCAGTTGTATTTTTTTTCACTAGATGATTGCACCTTTTCCACACATTTGAAGTAGACAGTAGGCTACTATTTCCTGCAAAAATTCACTTCCCAGCAGCAAAACTATAACAGAATGAAGATACATGCGCAATGGTAAAATGAAAGTAGCTTAGGTTGAAGACAGTTCTTTTTACCCTTTCCTTTACCATTTTCAGCATGCTCTGGCTCTGATTGATTACCACTACTGGAGCTGACCCTGGCATCAAAATCTTTTGAAGAAATATTTTGGTGAGACTGGAGATCTTGCATCTGCCCTGCAGTACTCTGTGCCTCTGCCATGCCATGCATTTCATTTGTGGTGCTTTGTTTCCCTTCTTGATTTGGTGGCAGACTCCCAGAGACAATGACAGTGGATTGATGGTTACTGCGCTCTGCTACAGCTACAATGGAAGGTGACTCAAGAGTTGGAGCACTGTTTTGCACTAAAAACTCCTCTTCTTTTCTCCATCATTTTTATTCTAGGTGAAAGAAGAAATGAAAAACATTTCTCATTTGAGCAATTACAAGATTGCCATCTTAAAATTATGCAGTGCTTGCATTTGTTAAACATTCGATGTGTAGAGGAAAGCTCTCCTCTTTACTTAAAAGTATACAAGTACCTTCCTATGGTCCATGCTGAGACCTTTCTGTTGGAGACACAAACTTTGTCAACACCCAGAGAGATGTGAGAACAAACACAGCCCTAGAGTGCTGTAGGAGCAGTGGGGCCACAGGGTGACAGGCGCAGCGCTGCAGCCGTTGGGCAGTTGGGCAGTTTGTGGCCGTTGGGCAGTTGGGCTGTTCCTTGGCACAGTGGTTCCAGAGGTTCCACCATGCTGCAGGGAAAGGAGAGGGGGAAGGTGAGGCAGCAGGAACACTGACTTCTGTGGCAGAAGGAAATTCTTCCTTGTAGCCCACCACCCGAGGAACCTAACCTATGCCTAAATATGAGTTAAAAAAAAAAGAAATAATTTTGAAGAAAAGGCTCTGAAATAAAATTATATGGATACACATGAGTCCTGTTTGCTCTCCAGAATCAGCCAAGGGAACTCCCAGATTTCACCCCATCAAGTTGGCTTCCAACACTGATGAAATGGATTCTTCTCATTGGTTTTCCATTAAGTCCTGCATAACGAAAAGAAAAGAAAAATAAAATAAAATTAAAAAGAAAAAGAGAAGTAAAAGAAAAAGAGAAAGAAAAAGAAAAAGAGAAAGAAAAAGAAAAAGAAAAAGAAAAAGAAAAAGAAAAAGAAAAAGAAAAAGAAAAAGAAAAAGAAAAAGAAGTGAACATCCCAAAATCTTTATGGGAAAAGTTTTTATTTCTAAAAGGCTGGGAAACCACTTTTCTTGCCATGTATTTATACACCAATCAAAAAGAAGCAGAATGGGGTATACTTAAGAATGTATGGAGCCAATATTGTTAGCAACAAGGGCATAAAAGGGAGTGAAACTATCTTGATATTCTTTTGTTCTAATATTTGGTACATTCCTTTGGTCTGCCTTTATCATTCATCATACCTAAATGCAAAACTAAATTGTACATATTCATGGTTTATAGCAGCAATTATGACATTTGTAAGAGAACTTACTAGGAAAAAAAAAAAAGAAAATCAGGAGTCATATAAAATGGAATTTGGATTTGAATAAAGCAATCATTTGTGTACTTTTCACTCTGCTAAGTTTCAGCTAGGATTCAATTCTCCATGTGTTGGGACACAAAGGATGAAGGCTTTATTACACTGACAGGTAAGAGGAAAAGGTGTGTTTTTTCCAGTTATCACGACACAGTAGAGTCACACGTAAAACACACCACCAAATGAAAATTCAGATGGATTGTGGATCTCTAGCAGAGAGATACATAGTATATAGTATACATACTATATACTATATATACTATAGATAGAGTGTATATATATATATATAGGGTATATATACTTCATATATATACCTTAAAAATTAAACAAAAAGATAAATCCTTACAACTAGATAAAGTGTGGCCAGGTAATAAAAATAAACACTTTTGAGCCTGAATGTCTGCAAAGTGGGTATTTGGGATGGCAAGCAGTGACTCCACTTGAAGTCACTAACTTTCAAGTCACTGACTTTGCACTAAGACTTTTAAATTCTTTTTCAGTTCAAGGCTTCCATTTTAGATCAGAATGATACAAAACAAACACTGCTCCCTGTCACAGACATCTTTTATTAAAAATCCTTTTCTTAGTATTTGTCCATCTGAGAAGCTGAGAGGCCTCAGGAACAACATGCAAACAATAGTTATCTGCTTCTGTGGAATGCAACAGGTGGATCTTTGATGGGCCCATGTTGGTTGTTTCTAATTAAGGGCCAATCACAGTCAGCTGGCTTGGACTTTCTATCCGAGACACAAGCCATTGTTATGATTCCTTCTTTTTCTATTCTTAGCTAGCCTTCTGATGAAATCCTTTATTCTACTCTTTTAGTATAGTTTTAATATAATATGTATCATAAAATAATAAATCAAGCCTTCTGAAACATGGAGTCAGATCCTCATCTCTTACCTCTTCCTCGGACCCCTGTGAACACGGTCACAACTCCCTAATACCAAGAAATTAACAGTAGGCATCTTATGACCCAAGGCTGGGCCTGCTGAATCCAAAACTAAAGAGGATTCTCAGAGATTGGCTTGTAGATCCTCCAAAGAATTCCTAGAAGGAAAACAAGGAAGAAAGAGAATTTTTCCAGCTGCTATATTTATACTCAAAAAGGTGCCACATTCTCAGGAAGACAAGGAACCTCAAGGAAATAGCAAGCCTTGGCAAATTCACGGATAAGTTCCAGAAATCCTCATAACATGAAAGAAACAAATTTTTTTTTGGCTGTGATCAAAGAAAGGAGGAGAGTTAGTTTCATATCCAAATACTGGAATATTAGATGAGGGCCTCATTTTAAAATTTAGTTTACTTTTAAATTATTTCCCTTCTTCCCTCTCTCCCCATCCCAACATACACTACCCTTCAGATCTTGAAATTACATGATAGGTGTTAATTTTTGATTTCAGAGGCGGACTCTAAAGCAAAAAACTTGTATATTGGTAAATGCGGGAAATGGAAGACAGTTCTCAGGGCCTGACAGAAGGCCTACACAGTATGCACCTACAAATGAGTACCTTGAGACAAGAAATGCTGAATTAGAAATGCCACTGAATAGGATATATATTGTTGGGAGAGAAATGGAGTTAGAAAAAAGTTTCAAAAGATACCCTTGCAAATAGGAGTAGATAATTTAGAGAAATACAACTATGAAGTATGCACTGTATACAGAACCATGAGGACGAGTTCTAGATGATTGGTTTGCAGGCACCTATAGCATGGAAAAAGAAAAAGCAAAATAGGACAAGAAAAGCTTATATTATATTATAACTGAGAAAGAGTAAGATTCTAGTTGTGATAGCGTGAATTATAACGTCTGCATGGTCTAACCCTTCTCATAAGACTAAAAAAAATTCAATGTGTCAAATGCCTCACAATTACCTCATCTCTGGGTCAAGAAACAAGTCTTGTCTGACTGGTAACTTTTCAACAAGCTGAGAAAGAAATTAGTACCTGGACATGCAGATTTCTGAAGGGAGGAAAGAAAAGTGTTGACAAGAATAAAGCTAAGTTTTAAATGCCTGAAGCACTCAAAAATGACATGTTGTGGGATAGTGTACCATATGTTAGACAGAGGCAAAACAAACCACAACTCATTAGTATCTGGACTTCATTGCCCACTATGCTTAGAAATGTTGCTTGAAGGCACTTTGTGTCAAGGATCCAGTTCCTTGACCTAGATCAAAATCTTACCAACAAATCAGTGTCAAAACCAGCAAGAGGGAGACTTTTGTCCTTGGCAGTAGCTTCCAGGTGCTGCTGGAAGTCACCAGGCCTAGACACAAAGATGTGTATTCAACGGAGGCAGAGAAGCATCATGCTTAGCTCTAAATGTGACCTTTGCTAGCAGATCATACTAGCAGCTACTTAATTACATTTCTTCTGCTCTTAGCCAGAGCCAAGATGGGAATCAAAGTCTAGATCACAGGAGAAGATCACACGAGCCTCAGCTTTTCCAGAAGAGGAAAACTACAAAGGATAGTAAATTTGCGTCACGTTTACAGGCTATTTTTGCAGATCGATAGACAAGGGATGAAGCTTAAAAGATGAGAGCAAAGGAAAATCAACAGATGTGCTGAAAGGGAGTGAAGAGGAAGGAGACCTCAAATTAACTGAAAAGCTGCACAGAAAGCTTCTCTACTTTGTGCACTTGCCTCAAGTTTTAAATGGCAAAATCTAGGAGTATTTCCAACTTAGTTTTATTAATTCTAGAAGAAAGACAATCAAAACGGTGTGCTTCTGCTTACAGTATGAAGTAAAGCACAGGAAGCCATTAGAGTAAGAAAACTTGTGCTCAGAAGGCTGAGGCAGCCTTAGGGGTAGGAGGCATGGGGAGGCGTGGAACTCAGGCCTGTGGGCAACCTTCAAGGAGCACCCAGGCCCTGAGCAGTCCCTAACAGTGCGTATGCCAGCAGATGGAGGCGAAGTGGAGCCCCAGCTCGGTGGGAAAAGGGCCGGGGTGGGGAGCCGTGCTCAGCAGGGGCTCCTGCATCAAATTGCTCAAAGACAGGCGTGCTATGGTGTGCGCATGTTTCCAACACCTGGCAGCAGCAGGCTGGCCCAGATGTGGGAAAAGGCCAAGGAGGCAGCAGAGTGGGAATGGGGCTCTGCAGGAGGCCCGGGCGGTTGCACACCCCTGTGGGGGATGAGGCTGGCCCAGAGGGTCCCTGGGGGTCTGGGGTGAAAAGGGGGGAGAAGAGAAGCAGGGAGGAAATGCCAGATGCCGCTGTGAGAATGCCATTCCATCCCACAGGTGACATAGTGAGAGGAGGGTGGCAACAAAATGGTGATTGCTGCTGATCAGCCTGACATCTTCAAGACAAGAGGCCCAGAAAGGACTGCACATCTGCCTCCTAGTGTTGTCCTGAATGGGAGCTCATTACCCGGTGTTCATTACCTGTAGGTCTCTCAGCTTCCCGCAGGCATGCCACACTTGCGGTTAGCAAAGCTGCTTACCTCCCTATGTTCTTTGGGCCTCTGAAAGGGACTGTCCACTTAGCTACAGCCTGGCAAGGAAGGGAGTCTTACAACACTCGGGATATTTTCGACTTTTATTGACACTCGGGCGCAAACAAAGTATCCCCTCGCTGCTTCTCCATCTTCAGCATTCTGTCCTGCAGGTGGCCTGCTCAGGCTGACAGCTTGGAGCGCCTGCAGGCTCCAGTTCTGCTGCAGCCCAGCTTTTCCTCTCACTGCCTAATTCTTATTATGACAATTCTTTCATTTCTACTTCAAAGCTTCCCTAAATTAACAACACTCTATCCTAAGCTAAACAATCCTCTACTATCCAAGCTCTCTACGTTCTATAGTCCTTAAAAGTTGATCCCTACATCTCCTAATTTTTTTAAACTTTCATCTTTTGCAGAAAGAAAAACAACAGAGCTTTAAATTGAACCTAACAACATCTCTAACCCAACCTAACCTAACCTAACCCAACCTAACCTAACCTAACCTAACCTAACCTAACCTAACAGCTAACCTAACAGCTAACCTAACAGCTAACCAAAGATCTAAACTGAGCAAATATTTACACTATCATGTTTCCTATCTACAGCACAGCTCCTCTTCAAACTCGGGGGATGGCTGAAGCTCGGCCTAAAGATGACGCATCCCCTTTTCCCTCCTCTCGGCTGGCGGGGCATCAGGGCCTCCTCAGGCGCAGGTGTCTCCTCTCCAGTCTTCCTGCACTCGCTTGGCTGAGATGATCAGAGCAGCCAGGCTGGAGGCAGGATCGCCTGAGGTCACAAAGGGATGCTGCCCAGAGGAAAAAGAACAAAGAAAGGAACTCTTACTTTCCAGGATCACATCCTCGCGGGCTCAAGCAGGATTCCCTGGCTACCAGCAAGACACACATCGAGCACCGAGGGCAGCATGTCACCCTGCGCCTTCCTGTCCTGGCAGCTTTCTGTGCCACGTGGCCCACACTCCTCCTCCTCATCCCTTCATGCAGGTGTCCTCAGCTGCCAGGCCTTTTTGCCCCTTTGCTTTTCCTTACCTGTAGGAGCTCCTGGGCAGACCAGCGCCTGTCCTCATCTGCCTGCAGGCAGCAGCGGAGGAAGTCGCGCAGGAGAGCCGAGTGGTGCCTGGGGTTCTGCAGTTTTGGGGGCCCGTTCCTTTCTAGCAGTTCAAAAACCTACAGCACATGGATGCAAGAGGACACTCCACCTGCTCCTTTGCTAGCCACACACAGCTCTCTCCACACAGAGCCCTCTTGCTAAGCTGCACCTTACCCGGAGACGGGCTTCCCGCTGGTAAGGAGCTTCCCCTTCCACCATTTCCAGCCCCATGATCCCCAGGGACCAGATGTCCACTTTGGGGCCGTAGGCTTCTCCTCTCACCACCTCCGGTGCCATCCAGCTGGGAGTGCCGACGCTGGAGCTGCGCTTGCTGTGCTCAGGGCTGAGCTGAGCACAGAGGCCAAAGTCACCTGAGGACAAAAACAAAGCCTGTCAAAGCCAGCTACCACTGGCAAAGCGGCCAAAACCATTGCCCACTCCAAGCCTGACCAGGCCATGCTGAATCTAGCTGAAAAAGCAGCTGAGCTCTCCTTCCACGTGCCTGGAGCCAGGCAAATAAGGCATCGGCCGCTTCAAAAACACCCTGACGATTCACGCACTGGCCAAGCCGCGCTTCTGCCCCAGTGGCCGTCACCAAAATGCAAGCGCACGGCATATGCTGGACATGCTGCAGCCCAGCAGGGACACCCACCCAACTTGACGGATCCGTCCGTGCTCACAAGGACGTTGCAACTTTTGATGTCTCTGTGGATGACTTGGCGGCAATGAAGGAAATGCAGTCCTTGCAGGCACTGAGAGAGAAGAAGGAGGGAGGGAAAGTTAACGTGCAGGATCTGATTTCATCCCACCCGCAAGGAAAGAGCTCAACGGGATTGGCGGCTTTCTCAGGGAATTGTGAGCCAGGGCGAAACATCACGCTGCTGTCATCATGAAGAGCTTGCTGCTTCAACCCTCTTGGAAGTTTTTTCTAGATTTCCAAGCAAAGGCACCTGGGCTCCCAAAAGTTCCACCGGCCTTGGGTAGGAAGCGCGTCACCTTTGGCTGGGAGGCGGCACGGTAAAGAATTTTGGGGAAGCCTAGTGGCAGCAGAAGAGGAAGCTGCTGGTGACAGCAGCACCTTCGAGCTGTTCCAGAATGCATCGCCATCCAGGCTGCAATGCTATCCTTTGAAGCTGAGGACAGCTCTTTGCCCTTAGCTTGAAATTCTGCCACCCGCATGCTGCCTTCCAGTGGCAAGCAATGTAGGACAGACAGACAGGCTCCAGGCAAACATTCCCAGGCAAAGCTGAGAAGAGGAAGAAAGAGAAATTGAGCCAGTGAGCGAGCACCAAGGCCAGACAACAGACAGGATGGAAGAGTGCAAGAACAGAGCCTGAGGAGTGCGAGGGCACCGGCAGGCAGTACACTTCCCATGCTCTTTCTTCTCCTGTGTGGCATGAGAGCAGCAACAGCAGCAGCAGCAGCAAAAGAAGGGTGAGAGCAAGAAATCTCGGCTCTCCTTAAGCTCCAGCTGGCAAGCAGCATCCGGGCAGGCTTGGGCAAGCACAAGCGGGATCCCTCACCTCCCGACAGACAGCGCCTATCTGTCCTTCCTCCAGGTACACTGCCCTCAGCACATCAAACAAGGTGCCGCCGTCCATGAACTCCATGGCCAGCCAGAGCTCCGCATCCACCAGGTAGCTGAAAGAAGAAAACTACGGCATGGAGAAACAGAATGGGCACAGCCTCAGTCACCCCAGGGCCTGAGCCAGGTTTTTGCAGCTGCTCTCCAAGCTACGTGGGCCACAAGAGACTATTGAACAGCAGCTCCACCTCCTCCCACGCTCTGGAGACCAGCAGAGAAATCATCCCCAGCTCTGTTCTCTGCCAGTGACCAAAGGGCATCGTCTCTTTGCGCTTGCACCAGCTAAAGCTACATTGACACCAGAATATGCCAACCTGTCTAAGTAGGTAACGATATTGGGACTCCTGTTGTCCCTCATGGCCAGGATTTCATTGGCAGCCAGCTCCTCGGACATCTCCTCCTCGAGTGACATGATCTTGATTGCCACCTGCAATGACATTGGCCACCGGTACCTTGAGAAGACGCACCCTGCTCGAGATCACAAGGAGCACGGAGCGAGTGTTGGTGCAATGAGGCAGCACGCTGGGCCAAAGCGCCTTGTCACTAGACAGCAGAGCTTAGCAGAAGCACCAAAGGCCAGCCCAAATGCATTCTGCGCCCTGAGCCTAGACTGCATTTCAGAGGAACAGCCTCTGCTGCAGACATGGAGCTGCCACCCAAACCTCCAAGCAGAGCTCACAGCAGTGGGCAAAGCGCTCCAGAGCTGCAAAATGGCATGGGGCTGTTGGCACTTTACCTGTTGTCCGCTGCTGGTGTCAAGGGCTTTATAAACAGCTCCAAACCCCCTAGAAAGACAAAAGCAGCAGAAAGACGCCTTTATCCCTTTGGCAGTGAAAGCAAGCCCAGGCAGCAGATCTCCCCAGGCTGCCTGGACGCCTTCCTCAGAAAAAATGCCTGGCTGCAGCATCTCTTCGGCCAACGGCACCTCAGCCCGTCAGCCCTCTGCCATGCGGCGCAGGCTGTCCGAGGGAACACTAAGGTGCAGCATGAAGACCAAGGGCCGCTGGAAATCTCCAAGGCGCACGCCCTGCCAGGTCATTTCACAACCTAAGGGGAACTCTCTCCTTGTGCGGGTGTGCATGCATGTGTGTGTCAAAAAAGGGAGAACAATTTGAGTCAGAAGACCGTCCTTGACAATCTGACCTTTCTTGGATGGCAAGGTGCTCTTTCAGGCCCGAAAGCTGCAGGGGCAGGGGTTTTCCCAGCTCCTGCTCCTCACTGCTGCAAGCAAGACACTGCCAGCATCAACTTGTCTTTGATGAGGCCTTTGGATTGCTCTGACCGAGCAGTCCAGGCAGGCCACACGAGGTCAAGCCAGAGCCTGACCATGATTGGGGCTTGCCTGACTTCACGCTTGATATTGCACCAGCCAAAGACCTGGCCCACACTTTTGTAAAATGAGCTGACGTCACGCTTACCCTCGCCCGAGTTCCTCAAATGCCGTGTATTTGCCTGTTGGCCGGCCCGGACTCACGATGCTCCCTGAAAGACAAAAGCAGTGCAGGGCGCTCACTGGCACACAGAGACGCCGCTGCCCAGAGCGTCCCAAAGGCAGCCCCACTGCCCGCAGCTCTGGGCCCTTTGCGGTCCCTCGGCTTCCAGCTGCTGAGACCAGCAAGTGGGAGGGCCATCTTCTCCACCTTTCATCAGGTGGCCTTTCCAAGAAGGCCTTGATTTCTTTCAAGAGCAGCATCCCACGCGATAAGCCAAAATGATGAGCCCTTAAGAAGGGGGCCCTAAGAGGTAACCAAGGGCCTTTGCAGCCTCCTCACTCACACCCACCATCACTGGCAGGTCCACTGCCAGGGGCACAAAGTGTCTGGGCCGGAGGAGGAGTAAGAACCAGAGCCAGAAAACAGCTGGCGCCAGACAGCTGCCTGGGCAATAGTCACTTGCTAGGTGCCAGCCTTCTGCTCAAGCAGAAACAATCTCTGCTTTTGTCTTTGGCCCACAAGGCAGCCCAGGCAGGGCCAAGGCAGGCCCAGCCGCCCTCACAGGCAGCAGGGACTCCCTGAGCGCTGCCGCGCTGCCTCAGAGCACAACAACACCTTCTGCAGAGAGGCCTAAGTGCCTCTGAGACCGAGGGGCAGCATCTGGCGCAGCCTACACCCAGACACGCGCACAACACCCTGCTCTGGCAGACAAGAAATGCACCGGACGTACTCAGTCTCTTCAGGCCCTCCCTCATCTCGGGCTGCTGGGCTGCGCTGCTGCAGGAAGTGCCGGCAGCGGGGGTTGAGCTGGCTGCTGCAGGCCACGCTGCTCCGGCGGCACCAGGCTGAATGGCAGAGCCTGTCTTGCGCTGGGACAAGAAAGGATTGCCCGTCAGAAGGGTGGCTGGCACACATGCCCCCCCTAAGCGCACGGCAAAAGCAAGGCCTTGGGAAGGTGCTGCCAGCCACGGCCAGGCCTCTCCAGCTGGGGCAGTTCCCATGTCCCCTTCTCAAAGGCACCTTCGGGAGAAGCCCAAAGGCTACTGGCATCCAGCCCCTCCCGACCACCTCCATGCTCCACGTCTTCAGCTGTTCTGCAAGACATTGGCAACAAGGTATCGATGGGGCTGCCAAGATCCACAAAGAGATCAGAGCAAGGCCCCAGAGCCTTGCTGCTTTCCTCCTCCTGTCTTTTCCTGGGCAATGAAATCAGCCCGGAGTTGGCACGCAACAGTCTGCTCAGAAGCCCGCAGCGTGTCCCTTCTCTGATCTGTTTCACGGATTTCCCTTCTCTATGGCAGCCTTTAGGGAGCGGCCCTTGGGAGCCGCCTTCCAGCCCTGCCCAGACCCACCGGCCCTTTTACAGTGCAGGCCTGCCGAGGATTCTCCTCTCCAAACTCTGCTCTGACCGGCTGGAAGGGAAGCACAGCCTGAAGCTAATTAGTCCACGGAGAGGGCAGGTCCCTTCCAGGGCCCAGTGTCTCCCAGGTACCCTGCAAGGCTGTCAACTGCGAATTTGGGCCGCGCTGTCCGCTGACCAGTGGCAGCCTGCACTGACCACGGGCACAAGGGGCTGACTCCTACACTGAGAGTCACTGAATGCTGCCTCCTGTCTGATCCCAAGAGACACTCTGGCACCCTCTCAGCATCCCAGCTTAAATGTCAAACTTCAGAACCCATTGGCCAGGGCTCCGCGGCTTGCCTGAAGCCGCACTACGCCTCAGCAGGCACACGGCCGCCAGCATCTTCCGCCACGAGCAACAAGGGCTGCTCCAAAACGGGGAAGCCTGGCCCTGCACCAAAGGCAGTGCCAAGCTCAGCTGTCACTTACTGGCTCTGCAAGTTCAGGCTGTGAAGGGACAGTGGCTGAAGGCTTCATCTTCCTTTGCTCCTCTTCAGCCTCTTCCTCAATGACAGAGGCAGCCAGAGGAGCTGCTGACCCTGCTGTTGTGCCCTGCAGGCAGACAGAAGTGAGAGAGATGGGCAAAAGTCAGTGCCTTAGGAGCTGCTTTCTATTGAGCTGGGAAAGGACCCAGAAGAAGGGCAAATCATAGACTTGGATACAAGTGGGCCTCTGAGTCACGCAAACCCGAGGAAGTTGGCTGAATGAGCTGCTACTCCATCTTGCTGTGCATTTGAGCTTCCCTGCTGCCTAGAAGCAGCAAGATGCCTCGGAGCTGTCCCATTTGCCTTTCATCTCTTGAAAGGCTCTTCACTGGAAAATCAGCAAACAGCCAGTGCTCCCTTTGCTACTGCTGATGCCAGCGGGCAGCTGGCCTTTCCTTCAGCCTCCCACGCCGGCACTCCACACTGGGCTGCAACAGGCCAAGCTGGCAGAATTGCTGCACCATTCTCACACGCCAGCAACGGCACAGCTTCCTTTGCCACTCACCAAAGGACAGGCATGTCTCCATCCGCGTGTCAGGTGACCTGCAGCCAGCAAGGCAAAAGGAACCAGAGGCCCTTAGAAAAGTGCCTGTGCTGGCCACTCCCACAGCACAAGGCAGCCCCAACACAGAGCATTTCCCTTTCCCAACATGCCTCCAGGAGCAACAGCTCTTTCCCACAGCAAGCAAGAGAACAACAAGGACGCTAGAGGAGGCTCTGTCTGCATTTGGGCCTCTTTTGCAAGGAGAGAAATAGGAAGACGGTGCTGGAAATGCCCGCTGCTCTTCAAAACTTTGAGCTCCTCTTGTGCCCAACAGCTCAAGCTGCATTTCCCTCTTCTCTTTCCTGCATTTTCCTTATACATTCTTTTAAATGGCATGCCCTAATTCCCATCCCTTGGCTGAAGATGATAGCCCAGCAAAGCTTCCACAAAGGGTCCCTTCCCTGTGGCAGCTCCCTGCTGAAGCAGCCCAGGAACAGCTGCTGGGCTCAGTAGCAAACCCTCCCTGCACTGCAGTTTCTGCTGCATCGCCAAGGCAATCGCAGTCTTGGCACAGCATCAAAGGCTCAAGTCATGCAGCCAAGGCCTCTAAGGGGCAGAATATGGAGCAAAAGGTGCTTTCCTTCACTCTCACTGGAGAGAACCACTGAGTTGGTAGAAGTACTTCTGAGGATCTCCCCTCAGGGTCTGCAATTTGCAGCTTGTCTTGCTTGAAGCAGCAAGCCGAGGAAATGACGGACTCCGCTGCCACGCACTCTCCCGGGGAAGGAAGGCAACCGCTGCAGGTTGCATGGCAAATACTCTGCACGCGCCACCCAGTACAGATGCCCCCTTTGGAGCTGATGCTGCTGGCAGGACATTGACCAAAGCGGTGGCACCTTCAGGGCCATTTTGTTCCCACAGAAACTGGGCCACTGGTGCGGCATAAAGAGCAGAGCCAAGCAAAAGTCGGGTGATGCCAGCCCCAGGAGAAACCTTTACTTACGAGTCAGCTGGGTCAGGTAGTAGCCAGAATAGACAACAGAAAAGACGGTGCAAACGGCGGCACAGACTTGCCCGATCATTTTGGCAGCGCTGTGCGCGTTTGCACGCTGAGTGCCACCCAAGGGAAAGCCAAGACTCCTCTCGGGGTGCAGGCCGTCTGCTGAGAGCTCCTTGAGCACAAGGATCCTCCTGCAGGGAGCCAGCGGAAGAGCTGCTCTGGACGACCAGGCCTGGCGCGCACCGGGACAACGCTGTGCTGACAGCACTGTGACGTGGCACCTCTGGCTTGACCTCACAAAGGCAGCTGCTCTGGGGCTTTCTTGTGCCCAGCAAGACAACCTTCTGTACAGCTAATGCAAAAGAAAAGCCTGGGAAATTCTCCTCACTCACAAAGGCAGTGCTCAAGGCATCCCAGGGGAACTCAGAAAATGCGCCAATCCAAGCGGCATTCAAGCAATGCAAGCAAACATGACTTTTGGTCCCCAAAGCTTTGACTGAAAGCAAGTCTGCTTCTTCTAGGTGGCATCCTAGCTGGTTTGGAAAATGTCACTAACTTCTTCAGTGACATTTAGATGGCAAACAAAGCAAAGACAATAAATTTCCAGGACTATTGTAGGCTGCAGTTGCTCATTGAACATGCGGGCGCATGCTGACCTATGGAGGGGCTTGGCAGCTGGCCTGCAAGCACAGCCGAGTTCATGGAAGAAATAGCAGTTGATGGTTTTTGAGTGTATCCATAGCAAGGAAGAAGACAAGGCTGTCAGCATGGAAACCCAATTAGAAGAGATAATGGAAAACTTGCGTATGCTAGACTAGGTGCCTAAGTAGAGGTGCATACGTGCCTCATAAATTTCTGTAAAACTTTTGCCAGTTATATTGACGTTAATTGCTTTGCACCACTGGATAGAAGAAGTTATTGTGATGTAGTTAGTGACTTGAGATCACGCTTTGTTAAGAGTGTATAAGCTGGAGAACATGCAGAATGAAAAAAACAAACCTTTTTCTTCTTGGACCGTGATCACGTGTGTATGCCACGTCCGGCCTAACGGTGATGCTTGCCCCATCTCTGGGTCAAGAAACAAGTCTTGTCTGACTGGTAACTTTTCAACAAGCTGAGAAAGAAATTAGTACCTGGACATGCAGGTTTCTGAAGGGAGGAAAGAAAAGTGTTGACAAGAATAAAGCTAAGTTTTAAATGCCTGAAACACTCAAACATGACATGTTGTGGGATAGTGTACCATATGTTAGACAGAGGCAAAACAAACCACAACTCATTAGTATCTGGACTTCATTGCCCACTATGCTTAGAAATGTTGCTTGAAGGCACTTTGTGTCAAGGATCCAGTTCCTGTAGATGACTGTCGACATAGATCAAAATCCTACCAACAAATCAGTGTCAAAACCAGCAAGAGGGAGACTTTTGTCCTTGGCAGTAGCTTCCAGGTGCTGCTGGAAGTCACCAGGCCTAGACACAAAGATGTGTATTCAACGGAGGCAGAGAAGCATCATGCTTAGATCTAAATGTGACCTTTGCTAGCAGATCATACTAGCAGCTACTAAATTACATTTCTTCTGCTCTTCGCCAGAGCCAAGATGGGAATCAAAGTCTAGATCACAGGAGAAGATCACACGAGCCTCAGCTTTTCCAGAAGAGGAAAACTACAAAGGATAGTAAATTTGCGTCGCATTTACATGCTATTTTTGCAGATCGATAGACAAGGGATGAAGCTTAAAAGATGAGAGCAAAGGAAAACCAACAGATGTGCTGAAAGGGAGTGAAGAGGAAGGAGACCTCAAATTAACTGAAAAGCTGCACAGAAAGCTTCTCTACTTTGTGCACTTGCCTCAAGTTTTAAATGGCAAAATCTAGGAGTATTTCCAACTTAGTTTTATTAATTCTAGAAGAAAGACAATCAAAACGGTGTGCTTCTGCTTACAGTATGAAGTAAAGCACAGGAAGCCATTAGAGTAAGAAAACTTGTGTTCAGAAGGCTGAGGCAGCCTTAGGGGTAGGAGGCATGGGGAGGCGTGGAACTCAGGCCTGTGGGCAACCTTCAAGGAGCACCCAGGCCCTGAGCAGTCCCTAACAGTGCGTATGCCAGCAGATGGAGGTGAAGCGGAGCCCCAGCTCGGTGGGAAAAGGGCCGGGGTGGGGAGCCGTGCTCAGCAGGGGCTCCTGCATCAAATTGCTCAAAGACAGGCGTGCTATGGTGTGCGCATGTTTCCAACACCTGGCAACAGCAGGCTGGCCCAGATGTGGGAAAAGGCCAAGGAGGCAGCAGAGTGGGAATGGGGCTCTGCAGGAGGCCCGGGCGGTTGCACACCCCTGTGGGGGATGAGGCTGGCCCAGAGGGTCCCTGAGGGTCTGGGGTGAAAAGGGGGGAGAAGAGAAGCAGGGAGGAAATGCCAGATGCCGCTGTGAGAATGCCATTCCATCCCACAGGTGACATAGTGAGAGGAGGGTGGCAACAAAATGGTGATTGCTGCTGATCAGCCTGACATCTTCAAGACAAGAGGCCCAGAAAGGACTGCACATCTGCCTCCTAGTGTTGTCCTGAATGGGAGCTCAATACCCGGTGTTCATTACCTGTAGGTCTCTCAGTTTCCCGCAGGCATGCCACACTTGCGGTAAGCAAAGCTGCTTACCTCCCTATGTTCTTTGGGTCTCTGAAAGGGACTGTCCACTTAGCTACAGCCTGGCAAGGAAGGGAGTCTTACAACACTCGGGATATTTTCGACTTTTATTGACACTCGGGCGCAAACAAAGTATCCCCTCGCTGCTTCTCCATCTTCAGCATTCTGTCCTGCAGGCGGCCTGCTCAGGCTGACAGCTTGGAGCGCCTGCAGGCTCCAGTTCTGCTGCAGCCCAGCTTTTCCTCTCACTGCCTAATTCTTATTATGACAATTCTTTCATTTCTACTTCAAAGCTTCCCTAAATTAACAACACTCTATCCTAAGCTAAACAATCCTCTACTATCCAAGCTCTCTACGTTCTATAGTCCTTAAAAGTTGATCCCTACATCTCCTAATTTTTTTAAACTTTCATCTTTTGCAGAAAGAAAAACAACAGAGCTTTAAATTGAACCTAACAACATCTCTAACCCAACCTAACCTAACCTAACCCAACCTAACCTAACCTAACCTAACCTAACCTAACCTAACAGCTAACCTAACAGCTAACCTAACAGCTAACCAAAGATCTAAACTGAGCAAATATTTACACTATCATGTTTCCTATCTACAGCACAGCTCCTCTTCAAACTCGGGGGATGGCTGAAGCTCGGCCTAAAGATGACGCATCCCCTTTTCCCTCCTCTCGGCTGGCGGGGCATCAGGGCCTCCTCAGGCGCAGGTGTCTCCTCTCCAGTCTTCCTGCACTCGCTTGGCTGAGATGATCAGAGCAGCCAGGCTGGAGGCAGGATCGCCTGAGGTCACAAAGGGATGCTGCCCAGAGGAAAAAGAACAAAGAAAGGAACTCTTACTTTCCAGGATCACATCCTCGCGGGCTCAAGCAGGATTCCCTGGCTACCAGCAAGACACACATCGAGCACCGAGGGCAGCATGTCACCCTGCGCCTTCCTGTCCTGGCAGCTTTCTGTGCCACGTGGCCCACACTCCTCCTCCTCATCCCTTCATGCAGGTGTCCTCAGCTGCCAGGCCTTTTTGCCCCTTTGCTTTTCCTTACCTGTAGGAGCTCCTGGGCAGACCAGCGCCTGTCCTCATCTGCCTGCAGGCAGCAGCGGAGGAAGTCGCGCAGGAGAGCCGAGTGGTGCCTGGGGTTCTGCAGTTTTGGGGGCCCGTTCCTTTCTAGCAGTTCAAAAACCTACAGCACATGGATGCAAGAGGACACTCCACCTGCTCCTTTGCTAGCCACACACAGCTCTCTCCACACAGAGCCCTCTTGCTAAGCTGCACCTTACCCGGAGACGGGCTTCCCGCTGGTAAGGAGCTTCCCCTTCCACCATTTCCAGCCCCATGATCCCCAGGGACCAGATGTCCACTTTGGGGCCGTAGGCTTCTCCTCTCACCACCTCCGGTGCCATCCAGCTGGGAGTGCCGACGCTGGAGCTGCGCTTGCTGTGCTCAGGGCTGAGCTGAGCACAGAGGCCAAAGTCACCTGAGGACAAAAACAAAGCCTGTCAAAGCCAGCTACCACTGGCAAAGCGGCCAAAACCATTGCCCACTCCAAGCCTGACCAGGCCATGCTGAATCTAGCTGAAAAAGCAGCTGAGCTCTCCTTCCACGTGCCTGGAGCCAGGCAAATAAGGCATCGGCCGCTTCAAAAACACCCTGACGATTCACGCACTGGCCAAGCCGCGCTTCTGCCCCAGTGGCCGTCACCAAAATGCAAGCGCACGGCATATGCTGGACATGCTGCAGCCCAGCAGGGACACCCACCCAACTTGACGGATCCGTCCGTGCTCACAAGGACGTTGCAACTTTTGATGTCTCTGTGGATGACTTGGCGGCAATGAAGGAAATGCAGTCCTTGCAGGCACTGAGAGAGAAGAAGGAGGGAGGGAAAGTTAACGTGCAGGATCTGATTTCATCCCACCCGCAAGGAAAGAGCTCAACGGGATTGGCGGCTTTCTCAGGGAATTGTGAGCCAGGGCGAAACATCACGCTGCTGTCATCATGAAGAGCTTGCTGCTTCAACCCTCTTGGAAGTTTTTTCTAGATTTCCAAGCAAAGGCACCTGGGCTCCCAAAAGTTCCACCGGCCTTGGGTAGGAAGCGCGTCACCTTTGGCTGGGAGGCGGCACGGTAAAGAATTTTGGGGAAGCCTAGTGGCAGCAGAAGAGGAAGCTGCTGGTGACAGCAGCACCTTCGAGCTGTTCCAGAATGCATCGCCATCCAGGCTGCAATGCTATCCTTTGAAGCTGAGGACAGCTCTTTGCCCTTAGCTTGAAATTCTGCCACCCGCATGCTGCCTTCCAGTGGCAAGCAATGTAGGACAGACAGACAGGCTCCAGGCAAACATTCCCAGGCAAAGCTGAGAAGAGGAAGAAAGAGAAATTGAGCCAGTGAGCGAGCACCAAGGCCAGACAACAGACAGGATGGAAGAGTGCAAGAACAGAGCCTGAGGAGTGCGAGGGCACCGGCAGGCAGTACACTTCCCATGCTCTTTCTTCTCCTGTGTGGCATGAGAGCAGCAACAGCAGCAGCAGCAGCAAAAGAAGGGTGAGAGCAAGAAATCTCGGCTCTCCTTAAGCTCCAGCTGGCAAGCAGCATCCGGGCAGGCTTGGGCAAGCACAAGCGGGATCCCTCACCTCCCGACAGACAGCGCCTATCTGTCCTTCCTCCAGGTACACTGCCCTCAGCACATCAAACAAGGTGCCGCCGTCCATGAACTCCATGGCCAGCCAGAGCTCCGCATCCACCAGGTAGCTGAAAGAAGAAAACTACGGCATGGAGAAACAGAATGGGCACAGCCTCAGTCACCCCAGGGCCTGAGCCAGGTTTTTGCAGCTGCTCTCCAAGCTACGTGGGCCACAAGAGACTATTGAACAGCAGCTCCACCTCCTCCCACGCTCTGGAGACCAGCAGAGAAATCATCCCCAGCTCTGTTCTCTGCCAGTGACCAAAGGGCATCGTCTCTTTGCGCTTGCACCAGCTAAAGCTACATTGACACCAGAATATGCCAACCTGTCTAAGTAGGTAACGATATTGGGACTCCTGTTGTCCCTCATGGCCAGGATTTCATTGGCAGCCAGCTCCTCGGACATCTCCTCCTCGAGTGACATGATCTTGATTGCCACCTGCAATGACATTGGCCACCGGTACCTTGAGAAGACGCACCCTGCTCGAGATCACAAGGAGCACGGAGCGAGTGCTGGTGCAATGAGGCAGCACGCTGGGCCAAAGCGCCTTGTCACTAGACAGCAGAGCTTAGCAGAAGCACCAAAGGCCAGCCCAAATGCATTCTGCCCCCTGAGCCTAGACTGCATTTCAGAGGAACAGCCTCTGCTGCAGACATGGAGCTGCCACCCAAACCTCCAAGCAGAGCTCACAGCAGCGGGCAAAGCGCTCCAGAGCTGCAAAATGGCATGGGGCTGTTGGCACTTTACCTGTTGTCCGCTGCTGGTGTCAAGGGCTTTATAAACAGCTCCAAACCCCCTAGAAAGACAAAAGCAGCAGAAAGACGCCTTTATCCCTTTGGCAGTGAAAGCAAGCCCAGGCAGCAGATCTCCCCAGGCTGCCTGGACGCCTTCCTCAGAAAAAATGCCTGGCTGCAGCATCTCTTCGGCCAACGGCACCTCAGCCCGTCAGCCCTCTGCCATGCGGCGCAGGCTGTCCGAGGGAACACTAAGGTGCAGCATGAAGACCAAGGGCCGCTGGAAATCTCCAAGGCGCACGCCCTGCCAGGTCATTTCACAACCTAAGGGGAACTCTCTCCTTGTGCGGGTGTGCATGCATGTGTGTGTCAAAAAAGGGAGAACAATTTGAGTCAGAAGACCGTCCTTGACAATCTGACCTTTCTTGGATGGCAAGGTGCTCTTTCAGGCCCGAAAGCTGCAGGGGCAGGGGTTTTCCCAGCTCCTGCTCCTCACTGCTGCAAGCAAGACACTGCCAGCATCAACTTGTCTTTGATGAGGCCTTTGGATTGCTCTGACCGAGCAGTCCAGGCAGGCCACACGAGGTCAAGCCAGAGCCTGACCATGATTGGGGCTTGCCTGACTTCACGCTTGATATTGCACCAGCCAAAGACCTGGCCCACACTTTTGTAAAATGAGCTGACGTCACGCTTACCCTCGCCCGAGTTCCTCAAATGCCGTGTATTTGCCTGTTGGCCGGCCCGGACTCACGATGCTCCCTGAAAGACAAAAGCAGTGCAGGGCGCTCACTGGCCCACAGAGACGCCGCTGCCCAGAGCGTCCCAAAGGCAGCCCCACTGCCCGCAGCTCTGGGCCCTTTGCGGTCCCTCGGCTTCCAGCTGCTGAGACCAGCAAGTGGGAGGGCCATCTTCTCCACCTTTCATCAGGTGGCCTTTCCAAGAAGGCCTTGATTTCTTTCAAGAGCAGCATCCCACGCGATAAGCCAAAATGATGAGCCCTTAAGAAGGGGGCCCTAAGAGGTAACCAAGGGCCTTTGCAGCCTCCTCACTCACACCCACCATCACTGGCAGGTCCACTGCCAGGGGCACAAAGTGTCTGGGCCGGAGGAGGAGTAAGAACCAGAGCCAGAAAACAGCTGGCGCCAGACAGCTGCCTGGGCAATAGTCACTTGCTAGGTGCCAGCCTTCTGCTCAAGCAGAAACAATCTCTGCTTTTGTCTTTGGCCCACAAGGCAGCCCAGGCAGGGCCAAGGCAGGCCCAGCCGCCCTCACAGGCAGCAGGGACTCCCTGAGCGCTGCCGCGCTGCCTCAGAGCACAACAACACCTTCTGCAGAGAGGCCTAAGTGCCTCTGAGACCGAGGGGCAGCATCTGGCGCAGCCTACACCCAGACACGCGCACAACACCCTGCTCTGGCAGACAAGAAATGCACCGGACGTACTCAGTCTCTTCAGGCCCTCCCTCATCTCGGGCTGCTGGGCTGCGCTGCTGCAGGAAGTGCCGGCAGCGGGGGTTGAGCTGGCTGCTGCAGGCCACGCTGCTCCGGCGGCACCAGGCTGAATGGCAGAGCCTGTCTTGCGCTGGGACAAGAAAGGATTGCCCGTCAGAAGGGTGGCTGGCACACATGCCCCCCCTAAGCGCACGGCAAAAGCAAGGCCTTGGGAAGGTGCTGCCAGCCACGGCCAGGCCTCTCCAGCTGGGGCAGTTCCCATGTCCCCTTCTCAAAGGCACCTTCGGGAGAAGCCCAAAGGCTACTGGCATCCAGCCCCTCCCGACCACCTCCATGCTCCACGTCTTCAGCTGTTCTGCAAGACACTGGCAACAAGGTATCGATGGGGCTGCCAAGATCCACAAAGAGATCAGAGCAAGGCCCCAGAGCCTTGCTGCTTTCCTCCTCCTGTCTTTTCCTGGGCAATGAAATCAGCCCGGAGTTGGCACGCAACAGTCTGCTCAGAAGCCCGCAGCGTGTCCCTTCTCTGATCTGTTTCACGGATTTCCCTTCTCTATGGCAGCCTTTAGGGAGCGGCCCTTGGGAGCCGCCTTCCAGCCCTGCCCAGACCCACCGGCCCTTTTACAGTGCAGGCCTGCCGAGGATTCTCCTCTCCAAACTCTGCTCTGACCGGCTGGAAGGGAAGCACAGCCTGAAGCTAATTAGTCCACGGAGAGGGCAGGTCCCTTCCAGGGCCCAGTGTCTCCCAGGTACCCTGCAAGGCTGTCAACTGCGAATTTGGGCCGCGCTGTCCGCTGACCACTGGCAGCCTGCACTGACCACGGGCACAAGGGGCTGACTCCTACACTGAGAGTCACTGAATGCTGCCTCCTGTCTGATCCCAAGAGACACTCTGGCACCCTCTCAGCATCCCAGCTTAAATGTCAAACTTCAGAACCCATTGGCCAGGGCTCCGCGGCTTGCCTGAAGCCGCACTACGCCTCAGCAGGCACACGGCCGCCAGCATCTTCCGCCACGAGCAACAAGGGCTGCTCCAAAACGGGGAAGCCTGGCCCTGCACCAAAGGCAGTGCCAAGCTCAGCTGTCACTTACTGGCTCTGCAAGTTCAGGCTGTGAAGGGACAGTGGCTGAAGGCTTCATCTTCCTTTGCTCCTCTTCAGCCTCTTCCTCAATGACAGAGGCAGCCAGAGGAGCTGCTGACCCTGCTGTTGTGCCCTGCAGGCAGACAGAAGTGAGAGAGATGGGCAAAAGTCAGTGCCTTAGGAGCTGCTTTCTATTGAGCTGGGAAAGGACCCAGAAGAAGGGCAAATCATAGACTTGGATACAAGTGGGCCTCTGAGTCACGCAAACCCGAGGAAGTTGGCTGAATGAGCTGCTACTCCATCTTGCTGTGCATTTGAGCTTCCCTGCTGCCTAGAAGCAGCAAGATGCCTCGGAGCTGTCCCATTTGCCTTTCATCTCTTGAAAGGCTCTTCACTGGAAAATCAGCAAACAGCCAGTGCTCCCTTTGCTACTGCTGATGCCAGCGGGCAGCTGGCCTTTCCTTCAGCCTCCCACGCCGGCACTCCACACTGGGCTGCAACAGGCCAAGCTGGCAGAATTGCTGCACCATTCTCACACGCCAGCAACGGCACAGCTTCCTTTGCCACTCACCAAAGGACAGGCATGTCTCCATCCGCGTGTCAGGTGACCTGCAGCCAGCAAGGCAAAAGGAACCAGAGGCCCTTAGAAAAGTGCCTGTGCTGGCCACTCCCACAGCACAAGGCAGCCCCAACACAGAGCATTTCCCTTTCCCAACATGCCTCCAGGAGCAACAGCTCTTTCCCACAGCAAGCAAGAGAACAACAAGGACGCTAGAGGAGGCTCTGTCTGCATTTGGGCCTCTTTTGCAAGGAGAGAAATAGGAAGACGGTGCTGGAAATGCCCGCTGCTCTTCAAAACTTTGAGCTCCTCTTGTGCCCAACAGCTCAAGCTGCATTTCCCTCTTCTCTTTCCTGCATTTTCCTTATACATTCTTTTAAATGGCATGCCCTAATTCCCATCCCTTGGCTGAAGATGATAGCCCAGCAAAGCTTCCACAAAGGGTCCCTTCCCTGTGGCAGCTCCCTGCTGAAGCAGCCCAGGAACAGCTGCTGGGCTCAGTAGCAAACCCTCCCTGCACTGCAGTTTCTGCTGCATCGCCAAGGCAATCGCAGTCTTGGCACAGCATCAAAGGCTCAAGTCATGCAGCCAAGGCCTCTAAGGGGCAGAATATGGAGCAAAAGGTGCTTTCCTTCACTCTCACTGGAGAGAACCACTGAGTTGGTAGAAGTACTTCTGAGGATCTCCCCTCAGGGTCTGCAATTTGCAGCTTGTCTTGCTTGAAGCAGCAAGCCGAGGAAATGACGGACTCCGCTGCCACGCACTCTCCCGGGGAAGGAAGGCAACCGCTGCAGGTTGCATGGCAAATACTCTGCACGCGCCACCCAGTACAGATGCCCCCTTTGGAGCTGATGCTGCTGGCAGGACATTGACCAAAGCGGTGGCACCTTCAGGGCCATTTTGTTCCCACAGAAACTGGGCCACTGGTGCGGCATAAAGAGCAGAGCCAAGCAAAAGTCGGGTGATGCCAGCCCCAGGAGAAACCTTTACTTACGAGTCAGCTGGGTCAGGTAGTAGCCAGAATAGACAACAGAAAAGACGGTGCAAACGGCGGCACAGACTTGCCCGATCATTTTGGCAGCGCTGTGCGCGTTTGCACGCTGAGTGCCACCCAAGGGAAAGCCAAGACTCCTCTCGGGGTGCAGGCCGTCTGCTGAGAGCTCCTTGAGCACAAGGATCCTCCTGCAGGGAGCCAGCGGAAGAGCTGCTCTGGACGACCAGGCCTGGCGCGCACCGGGACAACGCTGTGCTGACAGCACTGTGACGTGGCACCTCTGGCTTGACCTCACAAAGGCAGCTGCTCTGGGGCTTTCTTGTGCCCAGCAAGACAACCTTCTGTACAGCTAATGCAAAAGAAAAGCCTGGGAAATTCTCCTCACTCACAAAGGCAGTGCTCAAGGCATCCCAGGGGAACTCAGAAAATGCGCCAATCCAAGCGGCATTCAAGCAATGCAAGCAAACATGACTTTTGGTCCCCAAAGCTTTGACTGAAAGCAAGTCTGCTTCTTCTAGGTGGCATCCTAGCTGGTTTGGAAAATGTCACTAACTTCTTCAGTGACATTTAGATGGCAAACAAAGCAAAGACAATAAATTTCCAGGACTATTGTAGGCTGCAGTTGCTCATTGAACATGCGGGCGCATGCTGACCTATGGAGGGGCTTGGCAGCTGGCCTGCAAGCACAGCCGAGTTCATGGAAGAAATAGCAGTTGATGGTTTTTGAGTGTATCCATAGCAAGGAAGAAGACAAGGCTGTCAGCATGGAAACCCAATTAGAAGAGATAATGGAAAACTTGCGTATGCTAGACTAGGTGCCTAAGTAGAGGTGCATACGTGCCTCATAAATTTCTGTAAAACTTTTGCCAGTTATATTGACGTTAATTGCTTTGCACCACTGGATAGAAGAAGTTATTGTGATGTAGTTAGTGACTTGAGATCACGCTTTGTTAAGAGTGTATAAGCTGGAGAACATGCAGAATGAAAAAAACAAACCTTTTTCTTCTTGGACCGTGATCACGTGTGTATGCCACGTCCGGCCTAACGGTGATGCTTGCCCCATCTCTGGGTCAAGAAACAAGTCTTGTCTGACTGGTAACTTTTCAACAAGCTGAGAAAGAAATTAGTACCTGGACATGCAGGTTTCTGAAGGGAGGAAAGAAAAGTGTTGACAAGAATAAAGCTAAGTTTTAAATGCCTGAAACACTCAAACATGACATGTTGTGGGATAGTGTACCATATGTTAGACAGAGGCAAAACAAACCACAACTCATTAGTATCTGGACTTCATTGCCCACTATGCTTAGAAATGTTGCTTGAAGGCACTTTGTGTCAAGGATCCAGTTCCTGTAGATGACTGTCGACATAGATCAAAATCCTACCAACAAATCAGTGTCAAAACCAGCAAGAGGGAGACTTTTGTCCTTGGCAGTAGCTTCCAGGTGCTGCTGGAAGTCACCAGGCCTAGACACAAAGATGTGTATTCAACGGAGGCAGAGAAGCATCATGCTTAGATCTAAATGTGACCTTTGCTAGCAGATCATACTAGCAGCTACTAAATTACATTTCTTCTGCTCTTCGCCAGAGCCAAGATGGGAATCAAAGTCTAGATCACAGGAGAAGATCACACGAGCCTCAGCTTTTCCAGAAGAGGAAAACTACAAAGGATAGTAAATTTGCGTTGCGTTTACAGGCTATTTTTGCAGATCGATAGACAAGGGATGAAGCTTAAAAGATGAGAGCAAAGGAAAACCAACAGATGTGCTGAAAGGGAGTGAAGAGGAAGGAGACCTCAAATTAACTGAAAAGCTGCACAGAAAGCTTCTCTACTTTGTGCACTTGCCTCAAGTTTTAAATGGCAAAATCTAGGAGTATTTCCAACTTAGTTTTATTAATTCTAGAAGAAAGACAATCAAAACGGTGTGCTTCTGCTTACAGTATGAAGTAAAGCACAGGAAGCCATTAGAGTAAGAAAACTTGTGTTCAGAAGGCTGAGGCAGCCTTAGGGGTAGGAGGCATGGGGAGGCGTGGAACTCAGGCCTGTGGGCAACCTTCAAGGAGCACCCAGGCCCTGAGCAGTCCCTAACAGTGCGTATGCCAGCAGATGGAGGTGAAGCGGAGCCCCAGCTCGGTGGGAAAAGGGCCGGGGTGGGGAGCCGTGCTCAGCAGGGGCTCCTGCATCAAATTGCTCAAAGACAGGCGTGCTATGGTGTGCGCATGTTTCCAACACCTGGCAACAGCAGGCTGGCCCAGATGTGGGAAAAGGCCAAGGAGGCAGCAGAGTGGGAATGGGGCTCTGCAGGAGGCCCGGGCGGTTGCACACCCCTGTGGGGGATGAGGCTGGCCCAGAGGGTCCCTGAGGGTCTGGGGTGAAAAGGGGGGAGAAG